ATAAAAAAGCGTATTCTATGACTTTATCTTTTAAACAATTGGCCTTAGAACACATTTTTATGACAAAAACATTTTATGACAAAACCAGCTCATAAAATCAGCTTTTTGATATATTAAACTATGGTATCACTTTTTAATAACGATGGAATGTGTATATATATATATATATATATACAAAATAACTTCTCGTTTTGCATTCTTTGCATTTTATCGCTAAAGTGTAATCTATCTGCATCATGACTTATTTTAGACGTTATTTTGTTGATTCACTGAAAGTCGAGTCAACTGCCATAAAAGGAACGCCATGCGACTCTTTTTCAAACGAAAGTGGCATTAATTCACCGAAAACATAAAATCGGTACATGTTCGGCCTCTTGCTCACTTTGCAACTTCATTAGTGCCACTGATCAGCTCTAAATCAGATTAAAGTTTCTTTTGTGCAAGTTAGAAAATCTTTCAGTAAACAACAATTCAAAATGTGCGAAGAAGATGTTGCCGCTCTTGTCGTTGACAACGGATCCGGAATGGTCAAAGCCGGATTCGCTGGTAAGTTTGTGAAGTCCGATTCGTAACTCAAGATTCAAAACAAATCCGAAAGCTATATCTGCAAAGAATGTTGAATCACTAAAAATGTTTTTGAAATTTCAGGCGATGACGCACCACGAGCAGTGTTTCCTTCAATTGTCGGACGTCCCCGTCATCAAGGAGTCATGGTCGGCATGGGCCAGAAAGACTCGTACGTCGGAGACGAGGCGCAGAGCAAGCGTGGAATCCTGACTCTCAAATACCCGATTGAGCACGGAATCGTGACCAACTGGGATGACATGGAGAAGATCTGGCACCACACCTTCTATAACGAACTCCGAGTTGCTCCAGAGGAACACCCGGTGCTCCTAACAGAAGCACCTTTGAACCCGAAGGCAAACAGGGAAAAAATGACTCAGATCATGTTCGAAACCTTCAATTCACCAGCTATGTACGTGGCCATTCAAGCTGTCCTGTCTCTGTATGCCTCTGGGCGAACAACTGGAATCGTGATGGACTCTGGTGATGGTGTCTCCCACACAGTGCCTATCTACGAGGGATACGCACTGCCTCATGCCATCATCCGACTGGATCTTGCCGGCCGAGATCTTACAGGTATGTCTCAACTCATTATCAATGATAAACAAAACTGTTTAGGAATAAAAAAAAGTATCCAAAAAACGACGAAACTGGCATTCAACTATATCCTTGCATCTGCCTTAAATAATTTATGATTTGTTTTCAGACTACTTGATGAAGATCCTGACTGAGCGTGGATACTCCTTTACCACCACAGCCGAGCGAGAAATCGTGCGAGACATCAAGGAGAAGCTGGCCTACACTGCCCTCGATTTCGAACAGGAGATGCAAACAGCTGCTTCCAGCTCCAGCCTCGAGAAGTCGTACGAGCTGCCCGACGGCCAGGTGATCACAATTGGCAACGAACGATTCCGATGCCCAGAGACCCTCTTCCAACCCGCCTTCATCGGAATGGAATCTGCAGGAATTCACGAGACAACGTACAACTCAATCATGAAGTGCGATGTCGACATCCGAAAGGATCTCTACGCCAACACCGTGTTGTCTGGAGGTACTACAATGTTCCCCGGAATCGCCGACCGAATGCAAAAGGAAATCTCAGCCCTGGCTCCACCAACCATGAAGATTAAGATCATCGCTCCTCCCGAAAGGAAGTACTCGGTCTGGATCGGAGGATCCATCTTGGCTTCTCTGTCTACCTTCCAGCAGATGTGGATCTCGAAGCAGGAATACGATGAGTCTGGACCCTCGATTGTGCACCGAAAATGCTTCTAAGTTGTAAAATTTGATTAAATTGTACAATAAAATGAACTGATCTTGCCATATTGAAACTTTAATTTATACTAATAAAACTTATGGCAAAATATTTAAAACAGAAGTAAAGATTTTATATTTTTCTCAGTTTTCCAAATAAAAAGAGTGGAATGGAAATTATTTGATAACAGGACCCCTAGAAATCAAAGAAAATTCGAAAACCTTCATCGAAATTCAGGAAATGTCAAAACAATTTCAATATTATTTCAATGTTTTACACAATTCCTGAACTTAATTCCAAACATCTCACAATTTTTTGGCCTTTAGGCAATCAACTTGGATTTTAAAAGTTATTGTAATTGAATATACCGATGTGATTCGAAGTGCAATGTTTCAATCTATGCAATAAGTTTCCAGACTAAAATGCTCATCACTCTACTTTGTGATCAGCTTTACTTGATTGAATACTGAAAGTGTGGACCTCAGTGTAGTAGGAACTTTTGAGCGTTTGTTCAGAAAAGAAAACGCCAAACTCTTGCCAACCTAAAGTACTAATGTTTATTTTTTAGCCTCTAAAGATAAAGTTTTTCAGTTTGCTAAAAACAATAAATGCGGAAAAAAATGCGGAAAGTTTTCGGCAATAGAATTAGAAATTACTCATGCAAATTGCATCAGCCAGATGCGCGTTTGAATCCACTTGTTAAGAAAATTCTAGGGTTGACCTGTATAAACAATGCATACAATTTCATACATGGGAGCCCGCAAAAATTATTATCAGACATCATGAGTGACTTAACATATATACACATAGGTCGATACACATTGGTCGACCTAACAACTTCATGAAGCTTTCTGGTCATCAAAAGAGTTGAAGAGTTTTTTTTGGATGAAAAAGAATACTGGTCATATAAAATCCACTTATCGTTTCCAGTCACTTGATTTCGGGCACACTTAAACCTCATGAATCTTTCTGGTCATCATTGGACTTGACAAGTGTTTTTTTTTGGCTAAAAAAGAACACTATGGTCATACAAAAACCACAAATAGTTTTCAGGCACTTGATTTTGGGCACATTTAAACGTGTTTAACATGGTGTTGTGCTGAATGAGAGTTGGTTAAATAAAAAAATATAATTTTGATTTTTAAAAAAGAAATTCCATTCAATTTTCAAATTATAAATGTACGGATAGAAATTTTCATAGAATAGTACTCCTCAATTGAACAAAAAATCACTAGCAGAAAAAATCACTGCTCAAACGAAGTGTCGGAAAAATTGCCGCCCTTCAAACAGCAGAACCAACAACTACAAGAAATGGACTGAGCGCAGCCTCAATCATTGTTTTGACCAATTAAAATGGGGCGGATCTTAATTAGAAGTTTTCATTTTTGTTTTCCATGCAAAGTTAGGTGCAACAACTCATAAACAGAATGCGACCAGTGATACATCAGTTTAAATCCTTTCAGTTATGATTGAAAGGTCTTGAAACTTTTTCAAACGATTGTCGCAGTTTTGAGAAAAATTGGGTTGAAAACTTTGAGTTTGTCTTTTTTGGAGCCGTAAAGCGATCGAGTCAATCCTTATAAATTATTTAAGATCATTTATCCACGAGGGATAGGGCCAACATACGAGCTGTACAGCTCATCACGGCGAACCGCTGTTGTGCCCCTGCTTAAGAACTACATGCAATTTTTTTGGTTATTTTTCTGGGCTGGGTAATGTTGCCTCACCCTCAAGCAACGAGCACGGATCATGGTGGGCCTCGAACATCCGACCTTTCGATTGAGAGGCGGAGACGTTAACCACTTCACCACTGCTCCCCTATAATAAAAATGCAAGATACAGGGGAAGATACAAGAATTTGTTGAGGGGGGCGGATTTTCAATTTTTTTTTTGAAAACTGACTTTTTTTAAGGTCGACCAATTTGATTTTCCGAGCGGTCCGAGAAGACTATAAAAACCCTTTTCTTAACTAAAATTTTGCGCCGCCGGCAAATTAAAAAAAAAACAGGCCAAAAACCGCTTCAAAATTAGTAAATATTCGTGACAAAGGCGCGTTTACAAAATTTTAGGGTTGATCAATCGAAAATAAATATCATAAATTAATACCAAAGGGAGGAACCTTTTCGGTTGGTGAGAGGGTCGAATCCAGGAGGGAAGGGTCCCACAACCCTAAATCCCCCCTGTTTATATATGCGATCGAGTCGTTCGTTATATATGCAAAAGTTATAAAAGAATTTCAAAAAATTTGCTGACACAGAATGACGGTTAAAAAGCTAGGGATGATTGCTTAAGTAGTAATTGTAACAACCCATGTCTGCAATGCTCGATTGAGTGACTGAGATTGTGACTTCTGGTTAGTTTTTGATCCGACCACTGGAAGTTAGGAAGATTTTGTTTCTCAGGTGTGTTTTACTTTTTTTTTGTAGCCCAATGTTTTTGGGTGTAGGAGCGTGACTAGACGCAAATGTCATAAAACATGAATGGGATGTCACGTTTTTGCCATTTACTGAGAAAAAAATCAATATACTGAGAAACACAAAATAAAAAACTGGTAGGTTTCTGACTCTTGTTAATCTTAGAAAGACAATAGTAGAAAGACAATTGTAGAAAGACAAATCATTTAAATTTTCAGGTTTACTGATGGACCATTTATTTTTCGGCGTTTCGAGGGCGTGACTTTTTCATATTTTTTTCATTTTTTGTTCCAACTTTCGTAACGAAAATAAGGGAATATTTGTGTTTGGGGTGGGTTTTTTTTCTTCAGACAAATTTTGACCTTATAACTAGCAATTTTGACGGAGCTTTTTTAAATATCGTTCGAAAACTATTGTTGTTTTGGGCTTAAATTTGAAAAGGTATTTCATCTGTGATCATTTTTTGTAAAGTTATGGAGGTTCAAAGATTTCCATTTTGGCGAATTTGGGACAATTAAGGGCGCGATATATTTTGCGCTATTGGTATCACTTTTTAATAACGATGGAATGTGTATATATATATATATATATACAAAATAACTTCTCGTTTTGCATTCTTTGCATTTTATCGCTAAAGTGTAATCTATCTGCATCATGACTTATTTTAGACGTTATTTTGTTGATTCACTGAAAGTCGAGTCAACTGCCATAAAAGGAACGCCATGCGACTCTTTTTCAAACGAAAGTGGCATTAATTCACCGAAAACATAAAATCGGTACATGTTCGGCCTCTTGCTCACTTTGCAACTTCATTAGTGCCACTGATCAGCTCTAAATCAGATTAAAGTTTCTTTTGTGCAAGTTAGAAAATCTTTCAGTAAACAACAATTCAAAATGTGCGAAGAAGATGTTGCCGCTCTTGTCGTTGACAACGGATCCGGAATGGTCAAAGCCGGATTCGCTGGTAAGTTTGTAAAGTCCGATTCGTAACTCAAGATTCAAAACAAATCCGAAAGCTATATCTGCAAAAAATGTTGAATCACTAAAAATGTTTTGAAATTTCAGGCGATGACGCACCACGAGCAGTGTTTCCTTCAATTGTCGGACGTCCCCGTCATCAAGGAGTCATGGTCGGCATGGGCCAGAAAGACTCGTACGTCGGAGACGAGGCGCAGAGCAAGCGTGGAATCCTGACTCTCAAATACCCGATTGAGCACGGAATCGTGACCAACTGGGATGACATGGAGAAGATCTGGCACCACACCTTCTATAACGAACTCCGAGTTGCTCCAGAGGAACACCCGGTGCTCCTAACAGAAGCACCTTTGAACCCGAAGGCAAACAGGGAAAAAATGACTCAGATCATGTTCGAAACCTTCAATTCACCAGCTATGTACGTGGCCATCCAAGCTGTCCTGTCTCTGTATGCCTCTGGGCGAACAACTGGAATCGTGATGGACTCTGGTGATGGTGTCTCCCACACAGTGCCTATCTACGAGGGATACGCACTGCCTCATGCCATCATCCGACTGGATCTTGCCGGCCGAGATCTTACAGGTATGTCTTAACTCATTATCAATGATAAACAAAACTGTTTAGGAATTAGAAAAGTATCCAAAAAACGACGAAACTGGCATTCAACTATATCCTTGCATCTGCCTCTGAAAACAAATCCTAAATTATTTAGACTACTTGATGAAGATCCTGACTGAGCGTGGATACTCCTTTACCACCACTGCCGAGCGAGAAATCGTGCGAGACATCAAGGAGAAGCTGGCCTACACTGCCCTCGATTTCGAACAAGAGATGCAAACAGCTGCTTCCAGCTCCAGCCTCGAGAAGTCGTACGAGCTGCCCGACGGCCAGGTAATCACAATTGGCAACGAACGATTCCGATGCCCAGAGACCCTCTTCCAACCCGCCTTCATCGGAATGGAATCTGCAGGAATTCACGAGACAACGTACAACTCAATCATGAAGTGCGATGTCGACATCCGAAAGGATCTCTACGCCAACACCGTGTTGTCTGGAGGTACTACAATGTTCCCCGGAATCGCCGACCGAATGCAAAAGGAAATCTCAGCCCTGGCTCCACCAACCATGAAGATTAAGATCATCGCTCCTCCCGAAAGGAAGTGCTCGGTCTGGATCGGAGGATCCATCTTGGCTTCTCTGTCTACCTTCCAGCAGATGTGGATCTCGAAGCAGGAATACGATGAGTCTGGACCCTCGATTGTGCACCGAAAATGCTTCTAAGTTGTAACAAAAAATGTGATTAATTTGTACAATGAAATGAACTGATCTTGCCATATTGAAACTTTAATTTATACAAATAAAATTTATGGCAAAATATTTAAAACAGAAGTAAAGATTTTATATTTTTCTCAGTTTTCCAAATAAAAAGAGTGGAATGGAAATTATTTGATAACAGGACCCCTAGAAATCAAGAAAATTCGAAAACCTTCATCGAAATTCAGGAAATGTCAAAACAATTTCAATATTATTTCAATGTTTTACACAATTCCTGAACTTAATTCCAAACATCTCACAATTTTTCGGCCTTTAGGCAACCAACTTGGATTTTAAAAGCTATTGTAATTGAATATACCGATGTGATTCGATAGTGCAATGTTTCAATCTATGCAATAAGTTTCCAGACTAAAATGCTCATCACTCTACTTTGTGATCAGCTTTACTTGATTGAATACTGAAAGTGTGGACCTCAGTGTAGTAGGAACTTTTGAGCGTTTGTTCAGAAAAGAAAACGCCAAACTCTTGCCAACCTAAAGTACTAATGTTTATTTTTTAGCCTCTAAAGATAAAGTTTTTCAGTTTGCTAAAAACAATAAATGCGGAAAAAAATGCGGAAAGTTTTCGGCAATAGAATTATAGAAATTACTCATGCAAATTGCACCAGCCAGATGCGCGTTTGAATCCACTTGTTAAGAAAATTCTAGGGTTGACCTGTATAAACAAAGCATACAATTCCATACATGGGAGCCCATGCAAAAATTATTATCAGACATCATGAGTGACTTACATATATACACATAGGTCGATACACATTGGTCGACCTAACAACTTCATGAAGCTTTCTGGTCATCAAAAGAGTTGAAGAGTGTTTTTTTTGGATGAAAAAGAATACTGGTCATATAAAATCCACATATCGTTTCCAGTCACTTGATTTCGGGCACACTTAAACCTCATGAATCTTTCTGGTCATCATTGGCCTTGACAAGTGTTTTTTTTTGGCTAAAAAAGAACACTATGGTCATACAAAAACCACAAATCGTTATCAGGCAATTGATTTTGGGCACATTTAAACGTGTTTAACATGGTGTTGTGCTGAATGAGAGTTGGTTAAATTAACAAAATAATTTTGATTTTTAAAAAAGAAATTCCATTCAATTTTCAAATTATAAATGTACGGATAGAAATTTTCATAGAATAGTACTCCGAAATTGAACAAAACATCACTAGCAGAAAAAATCAATGCTCTAACGAAGTGTCGGAAAAATTGCCGCCCTTCAAACAGCAGAACCAACAACTACAAGAATTGGGCTGAGCGCAGCCTCAATCGTTGTTTCGACCAATTAAAATGGGGCGGATCTTAATTAGAAATTTTCATTTTTGTTTTCCATGCGAAGTCAGGTTCATCAACTCATAAACAGAATGCGACCAGTGATACATCAGTTTAAATCCTTTCAGTTATGATTGAAAGGTCTTGAAACTTTTTCAAACGATTGTCGCAGTTTTGAGAAAAATTGGGTTGAAAACTTTGAGTTTGTCATTTTGGAGCCGTAAAGCGATCGAGTCAATCCTTATAAATTATTTAAGATCATTTATCCACGAGGGATAGGGCCAACATACGAGCTGTACAGCTCATCACGGCGAACCGCTGTTGTGCCCCTGCTTAAGAACTACATGCAATTTTTTTGGTTATTTTTCTGGGCTGGGTAATGTTGCCTCACCCTCAAGCAACGAGCACGGATCATGGTGGGCCTCGAACATCCGACCTTTCGATTGAGAGGCGGAGACGTTAACCACTTCACCACTGCTCCCCTATAATAAAAATGCAAGATACAGGGGAAGATACAAGAATTTGTTGAGGGGGGCGGATTTTCAATTTTTTTTTTGAAAACTGACTTTTTTTAAGGTCGACCAATTTGATTTTCCGAGCGGTCCGAGAAGACTATAAAAACCCTTTTCTTAACTAAAATTTTGCGCCGCCGGCAAATTAAAAAAAAAACAGGCCAAAAACCGCTTCAAAATTAGTAAATATTCGTGACAAAGGCGCGTTTACAAAATTTTAGGGTTGATCAATCGAAAATAAATATCATAAATTAATACCAAAGGGAGGAACCTTTTCGGTTGGTGAGAGGGTCGAATCCAGGAGGGAAGGGTCCCACAACCCTAAATCCCCCCTGTTTATATATGCGATCGAGTCGTTCGTTATATATGCAAAAGTTATAAAAGAATTTCAAAAAATTTGCTGACAGAGAATGACGGTTAAAAAGCTAGGGATGATTGCTTAAGTAGTAATTGTAACAACCCATGTCTGCAATGCTCGATTGAGTGACTGAGATTGTGACTTCTGGTTAGTTTTTGATCCGACCACTGGAAGTTAGGAAGATTTTGTTTCTCAGGTGTGTTTTACTTTTTTTTTGTAGCCCAATGTTTTTGGGTGTAGGAGCGTGACTAGACGCAAATGTCATAAAACATGAATGGGATGTCACGTTTTTGCCATTTACTGAGAAAAAAATCAATATACTGAGAAACACAAAATAAAAAACTGGTAGGTTTCTGACTCTTGTTAATCTTAGAAAGACAATAGTAGAAAGACAATTGTAGAAAGACAAATCATTTAAATTTTCAGGTTTACTGATGGACCATTTATTTTTCGGCGTTTCGAGGGCGTGACTTTTTCATATTTTTTTCATTTTTTGTTCCAACTTTCGTAACGAAAATAAGGGAATATTTGTGTTTGGGGTAGGTTTTTTTTCTTCAGACAAATTTTGACCTTATAACTAGCAATTTTGACGGAGCTTTTTTAAATATCGTTCGAAAACTATTGTTGTTTTGGGCTTAAATTTGAAAAGGTATTTCATCTGTGATCATTTTTTGTAAAGTTATGGAGGTTCAAAGATTTCCATTTTGGCGAATTTGGGACAATTAAGGGCGCGATATATTTTGCGCTATTGACGCGTAAGAGGAGATTTAATCCGTCTTAGAAATCGTTCCAAATTGGTTGAAGGAAGCTCATTTGGCATCAATGGTTGGTTACTAGGAGCAAAATCTGAACGTTATATGGCGCGTGGGGAATGGCTTTCACAAAAAAAATCTCAAATTTTAAAATTTGAACCGTACAATCTTGCGTATCAAAGAAATTTGGTCATATTACAAAACTGTTTTAAGGTTAATTTTCTTTGAGAAGATCAGAGCAATCAATTTCTTATAAATTGTTTCAGAGTCTTGAATTAAAGCATAAGTGGGCTGGTTTTTTCACTCTGCTGGAAAGATTAATCAGATCTGCAAAACTAATCAGATCTGCAGAAGTTTTCATGATTAGTTTGGTTTGTTTTATTTTGCCAAACGCACCAACATTCTCTTTGTACACTTATGATTTACAAATGATCATTTGACAAAATCAAATCGAGCAAATAAAATGAATACAAGAAAGGAGGAAAAAGAAAGTATCATTATTGCAAAGGTTTGCACTGGGGCAATGCTGCGCTTTGCAAATACAAGCAAGCAAACGACATAAATCTTTTTAAATGAAATAAGAGAAGAAAACAGCCTTGACAATGAAAAATAATGAGGTTATGAATTCTAAACTATGACCAAGAGATTTGATGTGACATGTCCTCAGATTTGCGTTACGGTCCTTTGAAAATGTTTTAACACTAGCCTCCAAAAAGCAGCTTCATACGCTATGCATCAGAAGTCGCACCAAATAAAAACAGACCTAAAAGTTGTATGTAAAAAGTTGGAATACCTTGAATTTAAGGCACACGCACTAATTTTGCATTTTATAAATTGGAAAGCATAAAACCAAATCTTGCTAAAGTTATGCATGTCAAAAACGCAAAATATTTTGATTTGAATTGTTTTGAAAAGCAGGTATTTTTATTGAGCTTTTTTCGGTTCATTTGATGAAATAAAAAACATCAAATTTGTTAAAATATTACTATTGGAATGTCAGAGCAGGTATGAAAGGTATGAAAAAGGTACCACTTATGTATGAAAAAAAGAATAGCCGTACTATTAATCTACGCTCGTTGAAGCTTGCTTGAGTGAAAACAGTGTGCTAATCATGATTTTCTCCGTACTACAAAATATCAAAAAATTCCAATAATCGCAAATATTTTTGAAATAATAGCAAAATTTCTGGGAAAGCAACCACTTGCAGCATGAACGGCAGATGATATAACAAAAAAGCATAATCCTCAGCAAACTCCGAGCAGTGGCAACAAAGCCGACGAAAAGTTTTTGCAACGCAATAAATTTTTGTTTGCACAAAAGCAGGACCTCATCGGATTCGAACCTATGATTTTTGTCGTTCATAGCACGAACTTGATTTATTAAGAAAGCAGGCTGAGCAAATAAATTACTGATTTTGTTAAGCTAGTTGATAACCTGAAAAAAAAAATCGCCGATTAGGTGACGCTTGCAAATTACAAGCGTGGAAACTGGTTTCGAGTTCATCTAACATAATTTGACAGAGTTATATTTTGAGATGATGATTGTAGTTTAAGCTTAAGTGTATTAAAAAAGCATAATTTTGCTGGGTTCTTCACAGTGTTGGTAAGTTTGCTCGAATTTGCAGAATAATTATGTAGTTGTGACCAGGTCGATTGATTTTTTGCTATACAGACCAGTATTTTTTCCAAATATTTTATTAGGAAACTTTTTGATTATATTCTAGTCTCAAGAGAAAAATCTATTATTGCAAAAGTTAAAACTTTGTTGATTAATGTACCCTGAAAGATCTCTTCATGTTTGACCTTTAATTATTCAGAAGTAGTAGGCCTCTGAATGGATTGCAAATGTTGGCTCTAGTTTTGTCTTTTCTGCGGACAAGAACCTTGCGTTTAGTTTTTAAGGCGTGAAATTTTTTGAGAAACTTTCTCAACCAATTTTTGCGATATACGCCTTGGAGAAACCGTACAATCTTGCGCATTAAAAAAATTTGGTCATATTACAATACTGCTTTAAGGTTATTTTCTTTGAGAAAATCAGAGCAATCGATTTCAAATAGTTTGTTTCAGGGTCTTAAATTACATCATAAATTTGCTGGTTTTTTCACCCTGCTGGAAAGATTAATCCGATCTGCAATGTTTTCTCAAATTTCTAGATGAAGTTTTCATGATTAGTTTGGCTTGT